CCACAGCCTGGATTTTGGTCAATATAGAGGGCGCGAGAGACTAGTTCTTCCCTTGGATTTATCTACTTTGCCAGAGACACCGAATTATCGTGGAGAAGCTGTTGGTTTTACTGCAGAGCAGGTTCCACCATTACGAGACATTGATTGTCACACTAATCTGGCTCATAGTGCTACATCTCCTAACATGCCTCCTTCTCGGATGAGCCTAAACGAGCTCGCTGACCTGCCCCATCAAGTGGAAGAATTCTTTCACATAGGCTATGTTAAAGAGAGTATGTGTCTCTTTGTCGTGTTTACCTTGTTGATTTCAAATGTGAGCGGTTCTTGGAGGTTGTGCGCTAGGTGACATAAGTCGTGTTTGGATTGCTCGTGTTCGTGGAAGATCGTCTTCTTATTGTTGATTTTACTATGTTCCGCTTCACAAGATCACTTCGTTAGCATTAATATTTTCCTCTTCGTGGCCACTACAGGTTCAGATATGTGGGCAAATCCTTTCCCACCCGAAGGAACCTGATGCAACGTATCTTATGATTACTGGGGAAACAATGAACACGACATGGGCTTTTATGTGTTCATCAAGTATTCTATTTTTCTTTTATTTTTTTGGTTTTACCCTTTAGATAATCAAATCTTTATATGATTAGGATTAGGAGATTCTTATGGATCTCTCATTAGATATAAATAGATATTCTAGGACTTTTGTAAAGACAGAATAGAATTGATTGAATAAATAGAGCTTTTAAAACACTAAGAGGAGTATTCTTAAAACCTTTTGACTTATCGATCTCGATCGTATAAGCCAAGATCCGAGTTCGTTTCAAGTTCTCCTGGAGTTTTTGTCTTGATCTCGTTATTTAGCTTCCGCTCTCTATCACATATATCATCAACTTTTATTAGTAATAAATAGATTAGATATATAAATCGCGCTACGCACGAGTCTGTATAATTTTTTTCTTTGCTAATATCTTTTATATTATTAAAATTATAATATATTTGTAGAAGTTTTAAAAAAACAAAACATAATATGTAATTTTCCTGTTTATATTTATAAAATTATAAATCTTATTAAGTAAAATCATATTAATGATATCTAACGAATTATCCAACTTTGACGTACGTACATTTGATTTAAAAAATGATTTTCTTACTAAATTTTTGGTGTTTTGTTTTATGTCCTTAGGATTTCTATAGTTTTTCTTTTTATGGTTTATATGTTCAAATATCTAGTTTTTGATTAAATGTTTCACTGATGATGTGTATATATGCATATATAATATATGATTCATTTTGATTCAGAATTACATTCCTTAGGATACTACAATAATCATGTAAAGCTATTTTTTTGCTTATCCACCAGATCTTTTATTAATTTTAGGTCATATCTTTATTCATTTTATAAGATCTGTTTTATTTGCACTCAACTATTTGATAATTTTTGTTTTTAAACATGTAAGATGGTGTGGAGTCTTTACATTATCACTGTTTTTATCTTTTGAGTGCTTTATTCATGTTTTAATTTGAATAGTTTACCTAGTTATATTCCAATTTGAATTTGATACATAACTTTGTTATACTTTATTATTTAAATAAAATTTTAGAAGGTGTTATTCTTGTGTTGTTCATGTTGGCTAAGTTAGTAACTGTGTATAAATGACTTGTTATATTTCGAATGTAAAATTACATGTGTAGTATTTTTTTTGTTAGGTTATAAACCAGATGCAGCCAAGGTATTAGTCTTTGAAAATTTAAATAATATGTTTGACTTAGAAAAAAATTTTTGGTAAAAATTTAATTTAGAAACTTGTATAACATACTGTAACTTTATATGGTTATTCAGGGTCAATACTAATATTTTAGAAATTATGAGTTTTCTGGAACTAAATTTCAAACTAATTTAGTAAATTTCTTCTTAGATTTTGTTTTTGTTATTTTCATTTGATGGTAATTTTATATTTTATGTTTGATATAATTAATACATATATTATTTTTCTAATTAATCTCGATGGTTATTGATTTTCCAAATAGGTAACATATATATATCAATTTAATATCTTTTGCATAAATGTTTTTTCTTTATTAAAATTATTTTTATAATAACTTTTATTTTAATTATAATGCTATTTTGACATTTTAAAACTATTTATTCTAAATTTTATACCATCATTTCTTTTTTAGTTAATTTTTTATGTTGATTTTCCTAAACATTAGCCTAAATATCAAGCTAATTTTACTTTATACGGTTTTTTCATTTGATGATTTACCTCTCTTGATATTAATTTTTATTTTATTTTAACTTATAATTGTTTTGAATATATTTATATTTTTGAAGACATAATTTGTTTTTTTTGTTTTCTTTGTTAGTTATTTTTTTTTATATTGATTTCTCAAGTACTTAGTCAGATATCAAATAAATTTATTTTTAGGTGTTTTCTAAATTTAACATTTTGTAAAAGTTAATTTTCATTTTAATATTTTGTTAATTAATTTCTTAATATTGATTTCTTAACTAACTTAAATATTTATCTTCTTTTTGTTACTAAAGTTTTTTAGCATTACTCAGATTTTTTTTATTCTCTTACTTATTTTATTTATATTGATTTTGTTAAATAAATAGCATAGTAATCAAATTTTAGATAGTTTTTCTTTTGTTAATTCAACATGGATGTTGTTTTGGTAGTATTGATAGTTTTAAATAAAAAACTTTATATGTTTATAAAACAATTGAACCTTAATATTTTTTCTAAAAAATTACTAATTTAAAATATATATGTTAAAAGTTTTCTTTTTTTTAAATTTAACTTTTTGTTATTGATTTACATATTTGTTTTTGTTAGTTTAGATTTTGTCACAATGAGTTTCCATTTTATTTTGACAAACATTATAGATTTGAATTTTTGACCTAACTTTATTTTATCCGTTTTTTTGTCAATTAAACTTTTTTATCTTAATTTTTCATTCTACTATGATAATTTTAAATTTTTCATATTTTAATTTATTTAAATTATTAATCATACTTAATATTTAAATGTTTAATGAAAAACGTTGATGTGGACCAATCAGATTGAATTTTTATGTTCTATGTGCACGCTCTTATTGGCCTAAGATATCATTATCAACATCGATCACAACTAATATATTTTAAGTTAGCAGTTTAAATTTTAATTATTTTTATGATTAAAATTTTGAAATAGTTTAATTATGGTCTTAAATATAATTTTTAATTATTTTATTCAATATACGTGATTTATCTTTAATAATATATTTATATATTAATTTATTTTTTTGTCAATAGAAAAATAAGATATATTTTCTAAACTTTTTCTTATTAATAACTAACTTAAATTTTAGAAACTTTTCAAATAACAACAAAAACAAAACTAATTAAAATTTAGAAATTTTCCTTATAACAATATAAACGAATTAATTTATTCTAATATACAACATATATAATTAATGATGATGTATACCATTAAAATTGAATCTTTTAAATCTTATGTAGACATTATTAGAGGCCTATAACATCAATTTTTATTAGTAATAGACTAGGTATATAACTCGCGCTACGCGCGAATCTGTATTAATATTTTGGTTTATTTTTTTTAGCTGCTATCTTTTAAATTATTATATATATATATAGAGAAATTTTCATTTATATAAGAAAATTTAATATATAATGTATAATTTATCCTATTTTTATTTATAAATTTTAAAAAAACTATTAGGTAAAATAATAACAATGACACCTATCGACTTATCCATCTTTGACATACATATACATTTGATTTAGAGAAATATAATCTTGCTAAGATTTTGGTATTATTTTCTGTTTTCCATAGAATTTCTATAGTTCTTTTTTTCTTGAAAGGTTTATGTGTTCAAATATTTAGTTTTTTTATTGAAAGTCTTATTAATGTTGTGTACCATTGTATATATAATCTATGAATCCTGCAAAACCATTTTTTCCTTCTCCATCATGTCTTGCAAAAGTTTTATGTTATATTTTTATTCAGTTTTCATTGTTTTAATTGTTAAATCGAGTTGTTGTAGATTTTTTAAAATTGATAATTGATAATGGTTACTTTTTTTATACATGTATTGTTGTTAATTTTTTTATTTAACTTTTAAATTTTTAAACCATATTAACATTTTCTGATTTAATAAATATGTTGATTTGGATTAATCATATTGAATTTACTTTTTTTATTGGACATAATTTGTTAAATTAATTTTTATTATTTTAATTATACTTAATAATTTTTGGTTTGATTTAAAAACTGATGTGGACCAATTAAATCAAGTTTTTCTATCCTAATCATACTTAACATTTTTTATTTAATGAATATGTTGATATAGACTAATCAGATTGAGTTTTTTAATCATATATGGACGTCATCAATGCACTATGCCATCGACTTTGATATATTATATGATTTTATAACTTTTATTAAATATCTAATACTGAAAGAGTTGGATGTATTAACACTAAAATTTTAGAAAATTGGAAAAGATTTGAATTTAATAAAATTTTAGATGATATTATGTGAATTGGGAAAGTTGATATAATTTAATATTAAAATTATTTGAAATCCTACCTAAAACAATGGGATTTGATTTTCTATATATTTTAATTAATAAACTCTACCAAATTATTTAAAAGTATTTAATATTTTTTTAAATCTACTATTTAAAATATTTTTAATAATAGTGGATTTGATTTAGTTTTTATAAATTTCTGATTGAATAACATAGATTTTTAAATAACTTTAGTTAGTTTATATAAATTTTATATTTAATAATATCAATTTTGGTAAAAAATTTTGAAATTACTAATTCAATAACACATATTTTTAAAACAATCATCAAATCTTATGAAATTTCTAATCTAATACATCTCTTCCCACCCCCACAGTTTTGGCGAGAAATTCCAGTTTTTTTAAATTTTGATTCATACTTTTGAAGTTTTAATCTTCACATTAAAATAAAAACTAAATGATCATTTTCCCATACTTCCACACTATTTCTTATAACAAAACGACAATTTTAAAGAACTCCAAAAAAAAAAAAATCAAAAAAGTAAACCGAACCGATATCTAAATCTATTGTAAGTGTCACGTGACCCAGACGAGCCGAGTGCGTGTGGATAGCCTTCTGCACCTTCAGAGTCTCTTAAATCCCGTAATCGGTAGCAAATCTGCTGGTAACTTTGATTCGCATCCTCTTTCTCTTCTTCACTAAGATCCTCTCATTTTTGTTTTTTGGTTCCTGTGTGAAGTTTTCAACAGATTCGCCAGTGAAAACCTTCTGAAATCAACGGTGGGGATGGCTCTACTACGCCTTTCGTCGCGATGCACCGGGATCTCCCGTCCCCTCTCGGCCGCCTTCAGCCGTTTCATCTCAACGGACACCACACCGATTACGATCGAGACCTCGCTTCCTTTCACCGCTCACTTATGTGACCCACCGTCTCGCTCCGTCGAATCGTCTAGCCAGGAGCTTCTTACTTTCTTCCGAACCATGGCTCTGATGCGGCGGATGGAAATCGCAGCCGATTCGCTTTACAAAGCGAAGCTAATCCGTGGGTTTTGCCATCTCTACGACGGCCAGGAAGCTGTAGCTATAGGAATGGAGGCTGCGATCACGAAGAAGGACGCGATTATCACTGCTTATCGTGATCACTGCATTTTCCTAGGTCGCGGCGGTTCGCTCCACGAGGTTTTCTCAGAGCTTATGGGGAGAGAAGATGGTTGCTCTAAAGGGAAAGGTGGATCGATGCATTTTTACAAGAAGGAATCGTCGTTCTACGGTGGTCATGGGATTGTCGGTGCTCAGGTTCCATTAGGTTGTGGTATTGCTTTCGCGCAGAAGTATACTAAAGATGAAGCTGTGACGTTCGCCTTGTATGGTGATGGTGCTGCGAATCAGGGACAGCTTTTTGAAGCTCTGAATATATCTGCTCTTTGGGATTTACCTGCAATTCTGGTCTGCGAGAACAATCACTGTAAGCATTTTCATTCTTCTTTGTTTGTTGTTTGTTTTCTTTTCTTTTTAGGGTTTCTTGTGGCGTAATATCTGTGTGGCTTGGATGTGATTTTGTGTAGATGGAATGGGAACTGCTGAGTGGAGAGCTGCTAAGAGTCCATCTTACTACAAGCGTGGGGATTATGTTCCTGGATTGAAGGTTAGCTAACAAGAAGTAAATAAGAAATGAAGCATTTTTGCAGATTAGTTCTCTCATCGTTGTTATATTCATATCTTAGAATTAGAGAGAAGTTTTGCTTGCATCTTTGTCTGTTACCAGATGGATAAGTGTCATTTCCTGAACCACGTGAATTGCTTAGTTTCCATATGCACAGCTTTCATTCATGATTCTATCTGTTTAGGGATGAAATGCTTATAGGTAATGAATGTTTCTTGTAATCTGTATCAGTTATCAATTTTTTTTTTAGTTTGACCGGTTGCTGGATTGGATGCAATTTTTTGGGATGAACAGGTAGATGGTATGGATGCATTTGCTGTGAAACAAGCGTGCAAATTTGCAAAGGAACATGCCTTGAAGAATGGACCGATAGTAAGTTTTGTCTATATATAAGTATTCTCACATTCTCTGTTGTCTTTGTCATCTGTCGCATATTGTCAATATACCTTGAACAATATCTAGCTTTCTTGTGGGACTTATGATCATAGGATGAAAAGTTTTTTTTTTTAGTTTTGCATTTTTTAGTTGAGTTTTACATTCCTTCAGTTCCTCTTTGTGTACAGTTTTCAAACTTTTATGATAGAAATTACCCTGCTTTGTGTATCGGGGTACATCTAATAACTGTGTTATTGATTCTGCAGTTACTGAAATTACCCTACTTGTGCATCGACTTTTCAATTTTTTCTGGTGTTTCCTCTTCTCCTAGCATATGAATTACCTGAAAATTGATTCATCCATCATTTCTTTGTATACAGATTCTTGAGATGGACACATACAGGTACCACGGTCATTCCATGTCTGACCCTGGGAGCACATACCGTACACGAGATGAGATATCTGGTGTGAGACAGGTTCGCTAGTCTCCTTACCTGCACAAACTATTTCTTGGTCGAGGACTTGGTTACTGTAAAACTCAAAACGTTATTATATGACTCAGGAACGAGATCCAATTGAGAGAATAAAAAAGCTGGTACTATCTCATGACCTAGCTACCGAGAAGGAGCTTAAGGTATTATACTAGCAAGGCTCTTCTTTCTGCATCCTACGTAATGTTTGGTTTATAATCTAACTCGCAACAAATGTGATTTTCTTTCTCTAAGGATATGGAGAAGGAAATTAGAAAAGAAGTAGATGATGCCATTGCCAAAGCTAAGGTAAACATAACAGTCATATTGCTTCTCGCTTATTCAACTTTCACTAACGGTTGACTCTCTGTGGTTTCAGGATTGCCCAATGCCAGAGCCTTCTGAGCTTTTCACCAATGTGTATGTGAAGGGATTTGGCACCGAGGTACTTAACTAATCACACATACTGCATTTTGCAACACGCCCCTTAAACTATGTGTAATCTTCCTTATTGACCCTTTTTTTTACTTTGTTCTGTTGGCAGTCATTTGGACCTGACAGAAAAGAAGTCAAAGCTGCTCTTCCATGAAGCTCTTGTTCGTTAAACTGCCACGCACCATGTGCACAGTGCTTAATACGAAGCTATGAATAAAGAGGTTTTTGGGCAGAGTGTTTTGGTACTCTGTTCTGGGCTTTTGATTGTATACTCTCTCTCTCTCTCTCCTTTGAATTAGGATGACTCTTTTATCTTTACATACATAAAGAGAAACATATGATTCTTGTGAAGCTTTTGTCTTTTGTATCTAAGTTACTTCAACCCATTTTGATGGAGTCTCTTGTGTCAAAGGTTTTCATATTCAAGCACTTGCCGTCGCCGGTTATATATTATTATTGCTGCAGTCCAAAAATATAGTAACAATATGAAATACAAACAAAAGACCAATGGTTTACTTCTGTTTGCATTCTTCGTCTTCCAAAAAAGAATCAACTTTTTTAATTCAACAACACAGATGAAATCATAAGAACCATTTTCAAAGAACCTAACGAATTTTTCTTTTTACCAACAAGCTTCTTCTCCTATCATCTATATATACATACAACAAAAGCAAAGAACCTTTTTTTTGTTTTTCTTTTCCTTGTTATCAAGAATCTGAGTCTGAGTCACTTGAACTGTACCTTGACTGCTCTGACATGAAATTTGGAGGCAGAATCGGAAATCTAACCGCGTTTCTCTGCGGTGCAGCAGCAGCAGCGACGTCCGGTGTTGCTGCCGTTGAAGTCGATGCTCCTGTTACCGTAGTTGCAGGTCGCTGTTTCCGTTGACTTCTTGCGATCTCACTACATGCGTTATCAACCATCCCTAAGAAATCGCGGATTATAACAAACAGCTGAAACAGGTTCCTCTCTTTCAATGCCCCAGCTTGGTAATAACTTGTGGTTTTCTTCACTACCTCCATTATCCTGAGCTGTTCCCCTGTAATAACTCTCAGTTCTTCCTCAGCAGATTCAAAGAAAGATCTCAGCTTTATCAAACACCCGTCTTCTTTCCCTTTGCTCTGATCTAAAAGGCGTTTCGTCTCTTTCACTCTGGTGCCTAAAGCCAAAGTCGTGGCTACAAACGAGTCATAATCGATTCCAGCTGCTTTTTTCACATTGGTGAACTCTGAACTTAAGCCACCGATAATGGGTAAACCTAGCTTTATAAACTCAATCTCTTGTTCTTCTCTAGGTGCATCTGCAATATCTCCACCGGTATTATCATTCGAGATCTTACTCATCGCAGCTCGCTTTCCTTCAGATCTCACAACTTCTTCAACAACAAAGTGAAGCAAAGTAGTTTTCCCATCAACACTCTTCACATCAGAGAGTTTTCTAAGGGCTGTCAGATTAAAAGCCTGAGCATTTCCTCTAGCGGTTCCAGCGTTCATTCGGTTACCTGCTTTCAAGATTGCCTCCAGAAGCTTCATGAATAGCCCACGAGCACGGAGCTCGTTGCACGCGGATTCGAGTGTCAGTAAAGATCCTTTTTGCTGAGTAACCTCTGAAGCATAGTTAATCTTGAAGAGCATGACGTTGAACCGGTTAAACGCTGAAGGAACTGCTCGTAAGATGTGATACAGTAGAGATTCCGCGTCAGCGAGTTTCGTCGGGTCGCCATTGAACTCTATGATCTCTGACTGTTCCTCTGGCGTTGGAGCTATACCGGAAAGTTTCTCAAGTGTATCGGAGTCCGCATCATGGCCTTCTGTCAACAGGTCGATGATTTCCTCCTTAGTCATTCCCAAAGACTTAAGCACAATTGCTTTGTTCTGAGATTTCCGAGGGTCGAGAATGTAAGTCTGCGTAGTTGAGACAGTTGATTTCTGCGGTACGTTGTTTGGATCACTTGGTTTTCGAGCGCCAACGTATCCAAAAAGAGCCTCCATGAGATCACCATCAAAGCTTAATCCAAGAAACAAATACAAATTCATAACAAGTCATGATCCTAAATTCAAATTCTAGATTATATAGACATTAGTGAGTCACTGTGAACTGTATGCTTACTTGAATGAGCCACCGTCGATCCTGTGCCACACCATTGAATGGCTCGCATCAGGGTTAACCTTATCCCAATGTAGAGGCTTGAGCTTTGGCTGCGCTGGATCCTCAGGTTTGCCAATGGCCGAAGAAGTCTCACCTGCCTTCGTCGGTCCTTTCGCATTACCGGGCGGTTTAGGTGGTCCAGTTTTCGACTTTGGAGGCGGGGGAGGCGGACCAGGTGCCTTCTTACCCGGCGGAGGAGGTGGTGGTGGTGCAGGTGCTTTCTTTTCCGGAATTGGCGGTGGAGGCGGAGGTGGAGCCGCTGCAGATGAAGGAGGCGGTGGTGGAGCCCCTGCAGATCGTGGATATGGTGGAGGAACCCCAGCAGATGGTGGAGGCAGTGAAGGAGCCCCAGCAATTTGGTTGGCTGTAACTGGCGGTGGCGATGTAGAGGACGAAGCAATTGCCGCCGTGAATTGACCCGGAGGAAGCGGAAGAGGCGGAGAACGACCACCACCGCCACCGCCACTGCCACCGCCCCCGCCACTGCCTCGGATTGGTCGAATCTGCGACGGAGAAGAAGGAAATGAGCCGCCGCCAGGAGCTTGAAATTTGGATTGGGATTGTTTTCCAACGGCACCGAAATCACTAACTCCGCCCGTAGAAGAAGAAGAAGAAGGTCGCGACGGCGAAGCAGCAGAGGTAGAAGAAGAAGTGTAGTATCTCCCTCCTTCACCAGTATAGTTATTACTCTGATCTCGGATTTCACCACCTGAAGGAGAATGAGATTTCTTTGCATGAAACGAAAACGCCTCATCGATCGATTCATCTCCCTTGTGATTACTCCCCGATCCTCTGTAGAATCCGACTTCATCTTCGTCTTCGTCGCCTTCTTCATCTGCTCCAGCTCTTCTAAACCCACCATCGAATTTCTCTCCTCTTTCTCCGCCTCCTCTTCTAGGTCTAGGGGTTTTCCTAATTTTCCCGCTATTTTCAAGCTCTATAAGCTTTCTCCAGTAAATCACATCTAATCCTTCCTCATCAACGATGACCGCTTTGAGATTCCCGTCGACTCGCACGAAATCCTCCGGGAAAAGAAAACCCCAAGGAGAAGGCGGTGGAGGTAACGAATCGGAGCCACCGTCGTATCTGACTCTCTCTTCTTCTTCCCTCTTCCCTCGATCTGAGTTCCGACCACGAAGTTTGTCTTTGATCCGCCTCCGTGAACTGCTACCGTTCTTCCGGAAAAGGAAAGACATTGCGGTGGTTCTTTACCGAGAAATCTCTCGCCGTGAACCGGAGTTCAGATTTCACGCGGCGGAGCTAAGAAAAAGCTTAGCGCAAATCAGAAGGTTCCTATGGATTTGACAACGAAGAAAGAGGAAAGATTGAGGAAGAAAAATAAAAATGTGTTGAATCATTCGATGAACATGACAACCATTTTCATGATTTAACACATTAATGATTATTAGAATTATTTCTCTTTTTGGTAAATATAAAAGATTTTTTCATGAGATATGGTCCAATGTCAAAAGCGTGGCTGCTTTGACGAAAAGAGCCTCCACTTAAACAGCTTTAACACGAGTCTATAAAAGGATACTTTTGTCATTTCGTTAATGAGGACGCGTTGACCAGGTCTTGCGTCTTGGGGGTTAGTGTTCGAATTTGGAATTACAGAGATGTTTTTTTGATGTTTGACTTCATTGATCCAACTCTTCGGCTACGCGTTGACTTTCATGTCTCTTCTTCTTCGTTCAGGTAATAAATCTATGTTCTCTTTTAATAAAAAGGTAATAAATCTATGTTAAGTTTGTTTATTATATTCATACAACTTTTAAACCTACCAATTTAGTTCTGTCTAGTGTTCTCTAACTACTAACCCGTGACTTTCTGCCTTTCTACTTTTTTTGTCTTGAGAAACTAGTTTTGGTAATGATGATGTTATATACGAAACCCAAAATAATCTGGAAGAGAAAACGTTTAGGTGTAAATGAGATTTTGGAATGTTTGACTTTACGAATCGATCTTGCTTAGCGATAGCTGTTGAGAAGTTGATCCATTTAATACCTTTGGTCCCCTCCCATATACTTCTCGAAAAAGACTTCTCGAAAACTCTTTGTAAAGAACTGAAAAATGTATTTGACAATATAAAGAGATGATCCTTATTTATTATCTTTTAACAAGTTTTGGCATTTTATGGTTAAATAAAACCGTTAAATATCAACTAGAGAAACAAAAAAGGATAGATTATAACCAAAAAAATGATGGTCCAAAGTGTCGGATGTTTTATCAGAAAGAGAAATAGGATTAGATAAATGATAGATGTCGTGGAAACTCGAGAAATCTCTTGGATATTACAGAATTTGATTGCGAAATAAATAAACAGAAAATCGTAAATTAAATACTAATGATTTGTTTATTCAAAGTTCAGCGAGATGGCTACGTTTTTGGGGAGGGATCTGTCTCCCTCAGTTGCATTCACTAAATTCGCGAATACAGTTTACAATCCACGGCGATGCAATCCGATTATAGAAAATACAAATAAAAGATCAGGGAACAAAGAAGAAACTTGCTGGACCAGATGAATGCTCACAGAGGATCAAACGACGACTCCTTGATACTCTGGTAAGCATCTTGATCACTTTCTCGACTTCTCTTGCTCGCTTTATTTCTCTCTCTGTATTTCTCTCTCTCTCTGTAACAAACTTTTCTTATCTCAGGTACTGAAGCAAGAAGACAACGACTTCATTAAATCAGACCAGTGAGAGTTGGACTGCACATAGCAAAATGGCCCAAGAAGTATCTGACAGAATGCGCTTGAGGCCTATACTAGTGTTTGGCTGAAACACGAATCCACAAAACTCCACATTTCAGTCATAACACCGAAGACTCCGTCACTCAAGAGCCACTGACACCTTTGTCGATCTGAATACCCACCGATCAACTGAGAAACCACCGCCGAACACAACCACAGACCTTTTCCTCTGATGACAACCATGCAACAACCAACCCAGGTAGCATACTAAGACACTTTTCTCAAACAAGAATCTCTGCTTAGCTCTTTCACCTCTTGATCTGCTCCTCGTCCTGTGAAGAACTCAAAAGTCTCGGTCTTTTGATTTTGCAATGAACCTTGAAGAATTATGAGGACTTCTACACTGCAAAAACCTTCTTCAAGTGATGAACACAACCCTTGAACTTTCATAAAATCCTCTCACAAACCCAAACATCTGACTCTCAGAAATCACAAAGACTCAGCTAATGAACCCTTATCTTCTGTGCAGATACTCCACCTGGAACTGAAGACTCCAACCAACCAGTTCCACAAATCTCACAGGTAACTCTATCTATCCCCAAAGCAACAGATTTAGCATTGTCAAAGTTTAACAGAATCAAAGAAACTGACTTTTACCTTTGTTTCTGATATTGCGAGAGATCCTTTGACAATGGAGTTACCTGAAGCCTTCAAGCGCATTAGAAGATGTTCACCAAATCACAACAGAACTCAAACTTTGGCCTCAATAAGGCTTCAGTTAAAAAATCTGCTGGATTCTTGCTTGTGTTAATTTTGAATAGAACCATATCTCCTTGTGCAACAATGTCTTTTATGTGATAATATTTGGTAGCAATGTGTTTGGTCCTTTCGTGAAACACAGCGTTCTTTGCAAGCGCTAAAAGCACTTTGTGAATCACAATGGATCTTAACACTTATCTTGTTCAAACCCAAATTCATCACATATTCCCTTTAACCATATGGCTTCTTTCACTGCTGATGAGAGAGCCATGTATTCAGCTTCTGTAGTAGATAGAGCAACAATTGATTGTACTTTAGGCCTACAGCTGACTGTATTCCCCCAAACCTTGAAGTCAAAAGTTGATACTGATCTTCTTCGGTCTAAGTCTATAACATAATCTGAATCACAAAACCCTTCCACACTGAAATCTGAACCCTTTCTGAAAACAAGACACTCCTTTGAAGCCCCTCGTAGATATCTCAGTACCCACTTCACAGCAGCCCAATGTTCCCTTTCTGGATGTGACATATAGCGACTGATCACTCCAACGGCATAAGCCAAATCTGGTCTTGAGCCTATCATGGCATACATAAGACTTCCCACGGCACTAACATAGGGAATGTTTTCCATATGAACTGCTTATGTATGTCTTTCTTCCTTAGTCAACCTTTTCAACTTGAAATGTGACGCTAGAGGAGTAGTAACTGACCTTACTTCACTCATCTCAAATTTGTTTTAGCACTAACTCGATGTAGCTTTCCTGTAATAGAATCAGAACTCTCTTCTCCCTGTCTCTGATGATGTTCATCCCTAAGATACGAGAAGCCTTCCCTAAATCCTTCATTTCAAATTCTCGGTTCAAACTGTCTTTAATCTTGCGTATCTTAGACAAGCTTCCTGATGCTATCAGCATATCATACACATACAACAGTAGATAGATGGCTTGATCCGTATTTAAGTTTTGCATGTAAACACACGAGTCAAAGCGACTTCTTGAAACCTACTTCTTTCACGAATTCATCAAACCTTAAGTTCCACTGCCTAGAGAATGTTTTATTCCATAAAGAGATCTCCTTAGAAGACACACTTTGTTCTCGTCCCCTTTCTTAATGAATCCCTCTGGCTGACTCATCACGATCCTCTCATCCAGATTTCCATGCAAAACCGCAGTTTTAACACCAAGCTGTTATAACTCATAATCTCTGTTCACAGCTGTAGATAATATTATTCTGATAGACATGTGCTTCACTACTGGTGAGAAGATCTCATTGTAGTCAATTCCCACCTTCTGTGAAAACCCCTTGGCCATAAGTCTCGCCTTATACCTTTTTTTCTCCACTTCTAGTATCATCGACTTGAGCTTAAAGATCCATTTGCAGCCCACAAGTTTTGCCTTGTCTGGTTTCTCAATAAGATCACATGTGTGGTTCTTTGCAATTGAATCCATTTCCTTGACTGCAGCATTGTTCCATAGTTTTCACTTATGACTTTTCTTAGCTTCTGCATACGTCTTGTGTTCCTCTTTCTCTATATCTTCAGCAACAGATAGAGCATAAGCGTCAAAATTAGGATCCTTGTATTTATCAGGAGCTTGTATATCTTTCCTTCGTGCTCTGTCCCTCATGAGCAGATAATCATTGGTCGGTGGATTCTGATCCTGATCAGTTTCTTCTCTGAACTTAAGCACTTCTGAATCACTGTCCCCATTTGACCAATCTGAACTCTCATCTTCCTCTGTACCCACTAAATAATCTGAATCGTTCTGATCTGAAGCGTCTCCACCTTGAGAAGAAGTCTTACCATGTTCATACTCAGATGAACTTGGTCATTGAATGAGTTGTTCATCAAATGTCACTATCTTTCCTTTTCCATTATGTCTTGGAGTATCTGAATTCTCTTATTCTGCTACTTCCTTGCTTTTCAAAGTATCTTTGTATATCTTATCCTCTCTTAACACAATGTTCTTGCTAGTTCACATTTAGCTTCCTCTAGAATCCATACCTTGTATCCCTTGACTCCAAACAGATATCCCAAGAAGACTCCTTAATTGCTTTGGGACTTGTCATTTCTTATATCGTGTGAACATAGGCTGAACATCCAAACCTCCTGAGATGTGACAAATCAGGCTTGTGACCTGACCACTTTTCCTCTGGAAGTTTAAACTCAATCGTAGAGTTTGGGGTTTTGTTTATGATAAAGACTGTCGTAGATGTAGCTTCTGCCCAGAATTCCTGTCCCAATATTGTCTCTGCTAACACACTTCTTACTTTGTCCATTATAGTGTGATTCATCCTTTCAGATACACCATTTTGTTGTGGTGTATAGGTACACGTTATGTGCCTCTTTATCTCTGACGTCTGGCACAGAATGTCAAACTGAGTATTGCGAAACTCTAAGCTATTGTCTGTTCTTAAACATTTTATTTTCTTCTCCGTGTGTTGTTCTACAGCTTCTTTCCATTCCTTGAACTTCAAAAATGCCTCATCTGTCCTTTTAAGAAAATAAACCCAAACCGTCTTTGAGTAATCATCAATAAAGCTTATGAAGTATTTGCATCCTCCGAGGCTTTCTGGAGTAGATGGTGAACCCCACAGATCCGGATGAACATAGTCCATGATTCCTTTAGTTGTATGCTTAGCTGTAGGGAAACTTTGCTTGTGAGATTTACCAAGAACACAAATCTCACAAAACTCTAAAGCACCAACTTCCGTTTTTGGCAGAAAGCCATCTTTAACAAGAACCTC